CCCCCCCCCCCCCCCCCTCCTCTCTCCCTCTCTCTCTCCCTCCTTATATTAGGGTGCATTTAATTGTCAAATTTATTTATGTGGAAAAATGTTCCACCAAAATTCATTTTGTGCGGTTTGATTGATATTTTTTTCATGAAATTTTTTTTCCTACTTTTGATCAAGTGATTTTTTTTCCTGAAAATAAGAAAAATATTTTATTTACAATGAGTATGATTTAATTTTTCATGCAATTCAAACACACACACACACACACACACACGCACTCATCTACCTATCAATAAAAGATCGACAAATATAAAAAAAATTTAAGTTAAAAATTAAATCAATCAAGTACATTTAATTAATAATTTCCATGAATTACCCGGAACATAGTTTCTTACCATCCAAATTCCATTTTTGCAGTCAAATCCGCCCTTGTTTCTCATTCTACTGTTTTATTTATTTATTATTCATAAATAAGATGGACAGTTGGATCAAGAATGAGATCAATGGCTCGCAATAAGTGTATAAATAGAACTCTCAATTGCCCCCATTAAGTCATAATCTGATTTTATTCGTTTCTTGCTTTGTGCTTCCAAAAATTCCTCTCATCTCTATGTCGTTCATCTTCTTCCAAATCTCTGGTTGAAAGTTGTTCTTTCTAGTTTTCTCTCTGTGAGATTATATATTGAGTGTAAGTGTTAAAGAGAGAGATAATGATCGATTCTCAGTTGCATTTTTTAACTTGATATTTTGTTCGAAATCGTTTTCTAATACTCACTTCTCAAACTATGTCTTTTCTGAAAAAATAATTTTTTTGCTACAAAGAATGTTCTATCATTATATTTACATAAATCATTATTCTCAACCATTTTATCATAAGAGCACGTTGAAGAAAAAGAGGATACATCGTATTAAAATTTAGAGAAATTATATATGTTCAGATAGTACTCTTCTTTTAACTTCTCTGATTTGAGTCGACTTCTTCCATTCATGTGAGAGATTGTTGGAATTAATTGAATTTAATTGGGTTAAATCATTAAATGTGATATTTAATGATGTGGGCAATTGCAATTAATTTGGGTGAATTGGAAAAGTTTTCAATATAGGCTCATAAGTTGATAAGTCCATTTTAAGTGTTTTATATATGGTTAGGAATCCTACATCGAAAGTTTACAAGAAAAAACATTTGTTTATATAGTGAGATGTGTGAACAATCTATAATTTATATAGTGAGATGTGTGAACAATCTATAATTTAATAAGTAACCTACAACTTTGCTAACTTTGGCTAGTCGAAGGCTAGCGAACTAGCCACCACTAGAGTGGCGCCGCGCCCCGGCCTGCACAGGTCGTAAAATTTGCATTGGGTTCTTTAGAGGAGCACTTTGCACTTATAGTCGCAAGAAGTTGGGGAGCGTTATAGTTTTGGGAAATAGGCTCATGGTTCGATGACATGGCAACAAGAGGTTTAATGAGTTGGCATCCTAGGTGGCACATACATAACAGGTGGCGTCACTTCATCTGCGGCAGTTAGTTCAGTTGGATGTAAGCGTGGTATCTGCATGGTTGGTAACTATTCAGAAATTGGTGAATATGTATAATGAATAGACACTACACTTCATGGTTTAATTTGACAGTCAAATCATGAAATGATGCGATCCAATGGCTAAGACGAATCAGACCAAATGGTGCACCGGTTCATGAAATGTCACACACCCATTCAATGAGACACTTCAATTTCTATAAATAGAGACATTCATATTCATTTTTCGACACACCAAATCAATTAAAATACAATTTATTTCTAAATTCAATCTCTCTCCAAATTCTGTTTACAAAAATTCTTTCAAATATATTCGTAGTTATTCCGTTCAAGTACGATCATTCTTTGATTCCACTGACAAGGTTGGTAATCCCTTTTCACTTTATTGGGGGGTTAGAGGCGAAATATGTCTTAAGGAGATTTACTTCGTCATACCTCGCTTCATCTACTCATTTTATTTTCTGTTCATTTTATTTATTCTTTCGATTGAGATGGTTGAATTTTCAACAACATATAAAATCAACTTATGTGGCAGTTGGAAATTATTGAAATATGAATTTAGATTCCCGGGGGTTGGGAGCAAGGATGTGGGGTTTGGCTCTTGGCATCACTTAGTGAGGGCTGAAAGTGACTCTTTTGGCTCTTGGTGCCGCGATGAAGTGAATTCACATTGGCACTTTCTAAAATGCAATGACTATCTAGTGGGGCTAAATTTAGTGGTGCCAAGATAAGTTGAGCGCCTCGTATGGTTAAAAAATTAACTGGATCGAAATTAACTTGTTTAATAATTCACGAAGACACAATTGCCTTTCACGTGGCTCCGGTGACCGGTGAGTTTCCTTAATCAAGCCACTCTCTATGAGAATTAGCTCAATTTACTGCCTGTTTGTTTTCAATTTCGTAGCTCATTTTAATAAATTTTCTTACCATTGCAAATCTAGAGATTCAGAAACACTAATTTTTTAAGGTTTGATTGCGCCACAAGCCTCCTTTTCTTCTAGAGATTCAGAAACACCCTATCCTTTAATCTTTCAATTTTTACCCTCCATTTAAATAATACCTATTAAAAATACATATATTTTCTATTATATGAACTTTTTTGAAAGAAAGAATAGTCATTTACCATTTAAAAGAAACTAAAATAATGATCCCTCTACGATCTTTCAAACTCCTCCATCACAAAACTCTAGCGCCATTGCTATTACCCACCACCACCATCACCACATAAAAGCAGTGACTATGAGAGAGAGAGAGAGAGAGAGAGAGAGAGAGATGATGATGAGGATACATGGTGTATTGCCACATGACACAATGTCAAAAATTGTGGGGGAAAAAGATTTTTTTAAAAATTATGAAATGGTGTATTGCCACGTAACACAATGTCAAAAATAATGTATATACACCTAACATGATTAATCATTCAACAATTGTGGCTATCTCTGAAAAGTCCATATGCCGTTTTTCCTAACCAATATTGAATAAAAGTGAGGAAGGGAAATGAATGAGATAAGGGCAATTAAGTAAAGTACCGTATTCAACTGAAGGTAGTCAAAATGTACGTTTTCAATTTTACATTGATTATTTACAATAAAATCTATCAGAAGAATCTGATAGATTAATTAGGGGTGTCCAAAAGTTTCGGACCGAACCCGAACCGAATCGAGCGATTTTTCATATATTAAATATCCGAACGAGTACCCGAAACGAGAACCGATGGGTTTAGGTCGGGTCTCGGTTCTATACCAAGAACCAAATAAGACCCGAAACTAAATAATTTTTTTTATTTTTATATTGAATTAATTAAATTAAATTATTTTTTCCTAAACAAATTAGCAAATTAATTAAATAAATCAAATCATTTCATTTTATTATGAAAAGAGAGAACAAGAGAAGTCAGTAGACTTATTGTATGTTATAATGAGAACCAAAACCCTATATTTTTAGGGAAGGAATAGAGATACATATGGTAATTATATCTAGGGCTGCAG